AAAAAATGCAAATCTAAGATAAGACTTTATGCCGGGAAGTGGGAATCCTCACAGAATCTGTCCATTGTCAAAAATTTTGCACATTGTAATATATTTTAACATAAAATGAGAATACTGGAACAATAAATGTTCGTTGAGCAAAAAATTTATTCCTTTATTTTAACAATTAAAGAGTTGTTACATGAATAATAAAAAAATTACATATACAAAAGGAAATTGCTTACGAATTTAATAAATTTAATATTAAAGATTAAAAACCCGATCCCATTTGAGAAGTAGATAGCTAAAGATGAGAAACTTCATTATACACGAATCGTCCACTTTTTTTTATTAGATATATAAAAGGCGAAGAACATTATTGAGAGTTGAAAAGGGGAAGCGTTAGTATGGACGAGTAATAAATATGTAATTTATCAATCTTGCACGATGACTAATCCTTGGCTCTTTATACAAAAAACGCGTTTTTACTAATTAGTGCTTTATTGGAATTTAAGTTAACAAACTGGACCAATCAATTTTTTATGATTAAAAAACTCGAGTTGGTTTTTAACTTTTTTACACCAAAAAATTTAAAAATGGCGGTTTTTTCTTTACCCATAATTTCATGACATAAAATTGCTCGGATACGACTTATAATGACAAAGTTTCTGCTATACAAGTCCTTACTCAAATTTAATTTCTGTACAATGTAATCTTTCCATTTCAAGTTATATGAAATTAGCATATTCCTTTTATTACCCAATATGATTCATAATTGCTATTTTGACTCATATATTCAATTTGGTAGGTGAATGTTGGATCAATTTATAAATTTGAACTAGCATGTTTTTTTGTAGTAAATTGCAAATCATTATTTACTTAGTAGTTATAGAGAAAAAAGATCTTAAAAATAATAATGTTTTATCACCATCATTACCATCATTCTGAGGCAGTTGGTTTAATTTTTTAATATGGATTCAATCTTACTTTCATTTAATTGAATCATTTATTGAGTCAGAATTGTAGTCAGTGAAGAAATCAAATCCCTAAGAAATTTAAAAGAAATATTTGAAGATCCAAATAAAAAAATATATTTGGAAGTAATCATTAGCTTTATTAAATTTAATTCTTCAGGGTAAAAAAATATGGTTCACATACTTTTTTTAATAACTTTTCTCTAACCAATAATTAATAATTTTTATTTTTACAGATTAATAAATGATTTGGAATTCTTTAAAATTAGAAATAAGCCAGTAGCACCATATGTTGCCACACATTTAGAAGTAACGAATGCAATGCTTCTTTCAGGTTGCAGCCAACCACCTTTAAACAATGGAGTTTTGGGGTTAATTAATGATTATTATTTGGATTTGGATTATTATATTGCCATTTTTAAAGAAGCATTTAAATTATCATTGGACAAATTTAAAAAACATATTGAAAATCATCCAGCAGTTCCTTTGTTTAAAGCAATCAGATGTTTTGATCCTCATTGTATTCAATCAAATTTCAATTATCATGCTTTTTCAACATACTTTGTCATCAAGGAGTTCAACAACTATAGTGATAATCTCATGAATGAATGGGGAATTTATTGTAATTTACATGAAAATTTTGATGAAAATTTCAACTTAAATAATTATTGGAATGAAAAGATAAATATATTCCCAACATTAAGTCCAATTGCATTAAAATATGTTTGGCTTCCTGTGTCTGGTGTTGATGTTGAAAGATCTTTTACATTGAATTTTATACACTGCTGATGAATAATACAGTGCGAATCATCTATACTCAAAAGTTAAAAATTTTGAAATATTATGTGATCCACTCATTGGATTTTAAAAAACTTACCACCATTCAATTCAGCTTTAAAAGGGGAGTCTATTAATCTATAAAAAAAATTTGTCTCAAATTTTCTTTTCATAGATTTTTTAAATTTGAAAGTTATGCTCAGAAGTGCAACAATAATT